CCCTCTCCTTTCACTATCCACGCTCTACCTTTCTTTCAATGAAATGCCCATGCCCTCCATAAAGCTTTTCTTTAGCCTGTGCAAATCTCACCCATTTTCAAATTCTTGTACTATTTTCTATCTAATTGATTTTTTGTCCATGAGAATAAAGTGCTAGTTATCATTAATTGCCTATTCTGTATAGTTACATCTTTTCTCCTTACTGTCTCAGAAGGTAAATCCTTAGATTTTTTCTCCTTACCTTCTCAGAAGGTTGAATTGCAGGAGATAGCATTTCTTCTGTGTCCAGCATGGGGCAGCTGTGACCAAAGGAATGAAAGCCATTCATTGAATCAGAAGACCTGAATTTTAATCCTGGCTTGGTCATTTTCTCATTGTGACCTTAGGCAAATTTTTCAAGTCACAAATTCTTCATCTGTGGTAGCCATCTCACAGGGTTAATGAGAGAATTAAACTTAAGTAGGTGAGAATAAATATAGAAGCACCAAATGCATATAATTATTCAGAATATTTATTCATAAAAATATGAATGATTGTCACACCTGTAATCCCAGCACTTTGAGAGGCCGAGGCAGGTAGATCATGAGGTCAAGAGATTGAGACCATCCCTTCCAACATAGTGAAATACCGTCTCTACTAAAAATACAAAAATTAGCTGGGCATGTTGGCAGATGCCTGTAGTCCCAGCTACTTGGGAGGCTGAAGTAGGAGAATCACTTTAACTAAGGAGGAGGAGGTTGCAGTGAGCTGAGATTGTGCCACTGCACTCCAGCCTGATAACAGAGTGAGACTCCGTCTCAAAAAAAAAAAAATATGAACGACTGTCACCATGACCATACTTTCCTAACCATAAGAGTATATGTCATTTTGCTACCTTAATTAGGCAATGCCAGAATATCCCATAATACATAGACTTCATAAAACTTCCCTATTAAAATCGTGATCTTCCTTGTAGGTGTCATTTGCTTTCCTGTGTAGCCTGGACTTTGCTGTTAATCATATTAGGGAGGTGTTATCATCATAGCAGATAGAGTTTTTTGCCCCATGATCTCCTAACTTTTTAACCATGTTATATTTGTTATTTATTGCTCTGGGTTGCTAATTTAAACTTAGTGGCTTAAATTAGTAATAATCACTTATTATCTCTTTTGGGTTTGTGGGTCAAGCATTTAGGAACATCTCTTGGTGTTGCAGTCAGATATCACATGGGGCTGCCATCATCTGAAGGCTTGACATAGGGTGGAAGATCCACTTCCAAGGCAGCTTACTCACATAGCTGTTGGCCGGGGACTTCTTGCCATGGGCATCTCCATGGGATTGTTTGAGTGTCCTAAAGGTAAAATAGTGGACTTTTCCTAGAGTGAATGAACTGAGATACTAAGACAAAAGCTGAAATGCTTCTTATGACCAAGTCTTAGAAGTCACAGACTGTCACTTCTGCCCTGTTGTACTGGTCACACAGGCACAGCCATGATGCATTAGAAAAGGGAGTTGTACAAGGCATGAGTACATGGAGGGGAGTAGCATTGGAGGCCATTTTTGAGACCGAATACCGTAGTCCACCCTCTGGCCCCCAGTGATTCATGTTTCTCCTGCTTAAGAAAATATACTTATCTCCTTCCTCAAGGCTTCCAAGTCTCATGCCATTACAGTATCGGCTGAAAGTCCAAGACTGGATCACCTAAATCAGAGCTGAGTATACCTCTTTGAATGTTGATCCTCTAGATCTGAAGACCTGTGAACTAGGAGACAAGTTATCTGTTCCTCACACAACCAGCACCCCCAAATTATAGGAAAGATGTAGGGTAGTAGCAATCTACTTTCTTCAGAAAGGGAGAAAATAGGAGTCACACAGCAGTTACTGGTCCATGGCAGGTCTAAAATCCAACCAGGCACGTGTTTCTGAGTCCTTGATTCAGGCTCCATCCTGCTGCCTTAGAGTGATTCTTTAGGGTTTTTACCTCTGTCCTCTGAGCTCTTGGTTCTATCTTCTATTTTATTTTTTTGAGATAGAGTCTTGCTCTGTTGCCCAGTCTGGAATGCAGTGGTGCCATCTCGGCTCACTGCAGCCTCTACCTCCTGGGTTCAAGTGATTCTCCTGCCTCAGCCTCCTGAGTAGCTGGGATTACAGGTGTCCACCACCCATGCCCAATTAATTTTTGTATTTTTAGCAGAGATAGGGCTTCACCATGTTGGCCAGTCTGGTCTTGAACTCCTGACCTCAGGTGATCTGCTTGCCTCGGCCTTTTGAAGTGCTGGGATTACAGGTGTGAGCCACCATGCCCAACCTGGTTCTGTCTTCTGAGCATTACTTCCTTTTTCATTAGAAATGGCCTGTATTTGCAGATGAGTGTTTTCCAAACCTGCTTCTTACCCATAGAGGTTTAGGGACCCAAAGCCCTCTCATTTTATACTGTTTCAGTTCCTTTTAACTCCAAGAAGGTATAATTCTTTAAAACAATTTTGTGTTTTAAAATGAACTCATTTATAGTCCACTCTATTAGACAAAGTCACATATATATATTTTTTGTTTTACCCAAGAGATACCCTCTTTACTATGATAGGAACATCACGTTTAACAGTCTGAGAGGGACTTTTCTTTAAAGGAGTGAATTTGTGAGGCTTACTTTTGGAATCTTAGAAGGACTTTGTCTGACTGAATGGTTTTCTCAGGGACTGTATTAGATATTTCTAAGGTTTTAACAAAGGATTTAATGGTTCTCCATTGGATTTGTTTTTTTCTCTGAAGTAATTTCTTAATTTGAGAATCTTGGAAGTGCTGAGAATGAGAAACAGTTTTATTTTTGAACTCAGCAAGTCCTGGATTCTTTACATCTAATTTTTTTCTTCCACTCATCATTCCTCTCACATTTTACTGTAAGCAGCAAAAAGAAGCCAGGTGGCCCTTTTAGCACCCTGCCTGGAAACCTCCTGAGGCTCGATCATCTAGTCCATCAGGTACATGTTTTTACTTTGCCCATTACTACAGGCAACAAAATGCTACTAAATTTTCTGCCACTATATAAAAAGGAAACCATTTCCTCCAGCTTTTCATAACATTTTCTCACTTTCTTTTTATTTTCTTTTCAAAATAGACTTTATTTTTAGAGCAGTTTTAGGTTCACAGCAAAATTGGGCAGAAAGTTGAGATTTCCCATATACCACGGCTGCCACAAATGCACAGCCTCCCTGACTATCAACCTCCAGCACCAGAGTGGGACATTTGTTGCACTCGTGAACCTCCACTGACACATCATTGTCACCCAAAGTCCATAGTGTACATTATGGTTCATTCTTGGTGTTGTACATTTTGCAGGTATGGACAAACGTATAGTGTCATGTATCCACCATTATAGTATCATAGGAGTACTTTCACTGCCTTAAAAGTCCTTTGTGCTCTGCCCATTCATCCCTTCTCTCCTCAGTGACTGGAAACCACTGAACATTTCACTGTCACCATAGTTTTGCCTTTTCCAGAATGTTTTATAGTTGGAATCACACAGTATATAGCCTTTTCAGATTGGCTTGTTTCCCTTAGCAATATGCATTTGAGATGCCTCCATGCATTTTCATGGCTTGATAGTTCATTTTTTTTTTTTTTTAAGCACTGAATCATACTCTGTAGTCTGGATGGGTCAAAGTTTAGTCACTCACTTTCTTTTAAACTCTCATTGAAAGCCTACTTAAACTAAAGCCTGGTGCTTCACACACTGCTATATCTAGGGTTAGCTCTATGGGTTTCCAGGAAGATCTTGAGACTATGCCATGTGCATTTCTGTTTTGGCAAGAAAAAACATACTTGAATAAATGCATATCTAGATCATTGATGAGATTATAGAGACACAAGAAAAGGAAGTTTAAATCTTTCCAATTTGGTGCAGCCATCAGGAAATTACTTTGCTGTGTGCTGTTTCATGTGTGTGACAGTTAATATCAGCTCCCTGGTCTTGTACTCTGTTGATGTTTAGACATGCGATATCCCGAAAGTGCTACATCTGGATGGGGGAAATTTTCATGCTTCACACATCTTATTTTCCTAATCTTTAACCAAGTGTGGGCAAGAATTTGCAGATGGGATAAACAAAAATATTTTTGTTATATTTAAGGTTCTCATTCATATTTGAGTCTCTTGCTTCCCTGACATAGTAAATTCTGATGGAAGTGATCGTGGAGCCACAGACAGGCATAATAAGCTTAAGAGTAGTTTCACTTCCTAATGAAAAGAACACTGGGCCCAGGAGTCAGAAGACTCCTCAGGTCTAGCCTCAGCTCTGCCATTAGCATTCTGTCAGAGTTGAGCAAATCATTAAATTATCTGTTCTCAGTTTTCTGTATTGTGAAATAAAGGTGATGAATGAGGTAATTCCAAAGGTGCTAAGTCTAAAATTCCAAAGGTACTAGAGTCAATTTTAATATGAAATACAGGTTTATTAAGTAGCAGAACTGAAGTCATTATTCTAGAAAGTAATACATAGTCATATTAAAATGAAAAAAATTTGAAAAATAGATTGAAATGACCTATTACGGCTTTAAAACTTTTATCAGGGTCTTACAGGATAAACTAATCTTCTAACTGGCTTTAAGTGAATTGAACTTTTTGAGGAAGGTGAGAGGGCTGGCTGCCATCTGCACCCTGGCATACCAATCTCTTTAACGTATTTCCTCTCAAGGGCAAAGTCAACAGTCAAGCATATCCAAATAAAGCTATTGAGTCAAAGTTTCAATACATAAGTGACTATGTCAAGTTGAGTTTTGATGGTGGAATTTGATAAAGCATCGAGATTACTTATTACCTTCATCAAGTGAAGCAATTATAAATAGCTCTGAAAAGATTCGATATGGAATGTCCTCCGTGAAGACATCCCTTTGGAATTTGGCCACGTCATTTAGTGATGAGAATTGCAGGAAACAATTTTTAGCCTGATCTCTTCAGTAGCAAGACATTGAAAATTCTAATGTTATTTCTGTTTGTTTTTGTTTTTGTTTTTTTTTTGTGACAGAGTCTCTCCCAGTTGCCCAGGTGAGAGTGTAATGGCATGATCTTGGCTCACTGCACCCTCCACCTCCCAGGTTCAAGTGATTCTCCTGCCTCGGCCTCCTGAGTAGCTGAGACTACAGGTGTGTGCCACCATGCCTGGCTTTTTGTATTTTTAACAAAGACGAAGTTTCACCATGTTAGTCAGGCTGGTCTTGAACTACTGACCTCGGGATCTGCCTGCCTCAGCCTCCCAAAGTGCTGGGATTACAGGTATGAGCCACCATGCCTGATCTTACGTTTCTCTGAAGTAAGCCATATTACTGGTATTCAAGGGAATGATGATGGATTAAAAATAGACTTTTTTTCCCACAAACAGAAGTAAAGTTTTATAAGCAAAACTTAGATTAAGAAACTTTCTTCTTACTTCTAATATCTTAAATAGTAATAAGAGAGAGAAATCTGGAGCAATCAAACCTAGAAGGAGAGCTGTGGGCTTACAGGCCTTTGGTGGCGCAACTGGGCTAGCTCTTGAAAAACTATGAATAAAGGTTGCTTTTGATGCACTCCCCATTTTCCTTTCATTCCTATCCCAACAATTTAATAAGGTTACACCAAACGTAAGGAACAGTGATATATGCTGGCACTTATTCTCTATCCCTTTGTGTTTTTCAGCCAGGACACAAATACATGTAATGAAATTTTGATGGCAACATGACAACGTAGAAAAGAGCCCTGAACTGAAGAGCTCTGAAGAGTCCTAGGGGAGGAAACCTGAGGAGTCTAACAGTGTTACTTACCCAAGGGTGTGTATTTTTAGAGAGGAAATAGTTCCATAGTAATTTTATTGAGCATATACCTTTTCTAGTTTTCGAAAAAGTCCTTATAAAAATCTGCAAAAAAGTATCATTATCTATTTTTAAATTAAGAAAACCTGGCCATCAATGGATGAATGCATTTTACAAAGGTGCTTTATATACCCAATAGAATACCATTGAGTATTAAAAGAGAAGAAAATCTTGTCATTTGTGACAATGTGGATGAACGTGGAGGACACTGTGCTGAGTGAAATAAGCCAGGCATAGAAGGCCAAATACCACATGATCTCACTAATATGTGGAATCTAAAAACTTTGAACTCCTAGAAGCAGGGAGTAGAATGGCAATTTTCAGAGGCTGGAGTTATGGGAAATGGGGAAATCTTGGTCAAAGGGCACAAACTTTTAATTTTTTGACAGGAGGAATAAATTTTTTGAGATGTACTCCACAGCATGATGACTGTAGTTAATATATCTATCACAATTGCTAAGAGTAAATTTCAAATGCTCTCACTACAAAGAGTGATAATTATTTGAGGTGATGGATAGTAAATTAGGTTGATTTAATAATTCTGCACTCCAGCCTGGATAACAAGAGTGAAACTCTGTATCAAGAAAAAAAAAAAAAGAAATAAAATAAACAATCTTCTTTTTGAAGAGCTGACAGCTTACATTTTAGCAAAGATATTTAGAAAATTTCTTAATCAAGTGTATGTTTGAACTTGAAGAAGTTTGAGGATAATGTTAAGACAACTTTCAAATAATTTTGGTATAAATCTACATGAATCAGAGGGTCAATGGAAAAGGTACCATTTAAGATATATGATACACAAAAGATGAGTTTCACTAACGCGTCTGAGAGACCATCATGTAATATTTCTGAAAATTAATGGTTTGGTACTGTTATATTTGAGAGGCATGATGCTCAAATTAGGGCAAACAAGTTGTTCATTAATATTTGCAGAATTTTAATGTGTTTTGTAGATAATTACCATCTTCTTTGTCTGATACTAGTTTATTCATATGAACTAGCTACATTGGCTATACATCCTCAAAACAAAGACTAATTTAACCTGGTAATTTTTGTTTGTAATACAGCACTATTCTCAGATTAACAATTGGCCTGAGATCTTCCAGTTAACCATAATTGTTGACATTTTTAGAGGTGCTTATAACTAGAATAGTTTTTAAAATTATGTTGATAAACTATTAATGCTATATTGAATTTTATGGTTGAATTGGTTTAAGACTGCTTTTCAGTCTGCAGTCTGTACTGTAATATTTTTTAAAAGCCTCTAGAAAGCAGTTTGCCAGTTTCTCATCAAGTTAAACATATACTTACCATATGACCCAGAAGTCATACTCCTAGGTATTTCTCAAGTGAGTTGAACATTTATATTCACACAAAAACCTGCACATAAATGTTTAGAGCAGCTTTATTCATAATCACTGAAAGCTGGAAATGAAGATGTCTTTCAGCAGGGGAATGGAGGGAATGGATAAACCAACTGCGGTATATACATTCAATGGTACGTTACTATGCAATAAAAAAGGATAACAATTGAATCCTGCAACAACATGATGAATCTTAAGTGCATTTTACTAAGGAGAAGAAGACAGATGCTAAAGGTTACATATTGTATTATTTCATTCATATGACATTCTGGAAAGGCAAAAGTATAGAGACAGAAAATAGGTCAGTGGTTGCCAAGGGTTGGTGGATTGGAGGAATGGTTGACTACAAAGGGGACATGCAGGAACAGTTTAGGGTGGTGGAACTATTCTGCATGGTAATGGGTTGATGGGTGCATAACTGCATTTTTTTTAAAGTCCATCACATGCAGTGAAATTGAATGTATGCAAACTATAAAAAATCAACTTGGATGTAAGAGATCTTAGGATGGAAGCAAGTGACTCTGACAGTTGTACTACAAATATACAACATAACTTCACTAAAGGGTGTGAGTGCAAAAGAGCTAACCTAAGTAAGTTGAACAAATAAGCAAATGGTTGGTGGATGGTGGGTACCATGTTTCTCATGATTGGAGTGGGAGGTTACAGGTAAGCAAGAGGGGAAGGCTAGAATGAACTCTGTGGGGCTGGAGTGGGAGACACCAGTATATCTGGTGTCTGGCTTGATACATACATAGATGGAAAATCCTAGACAGAGAAATCAGGTAAGAGAAAGAAATAAAAGTCATTCAAATAGGAAGTGAAACTATCTCCCTTCAATGAAAATGTGATTCTATACTTAGGAAATCCTAAAGACTTCACCAAAAGGCTGTAAGAACTGATAAATGATCTTAGTCAGATTTCAGTATACAAAGTCAATGTACAGAAATAAGTAGCATTTCTAAACACCAATAATGGCAAGGCTGAGAATCAAATCAAGACATAACCCCATTTACAGTAGTCACAAAGAAAATGAAATACTTAGGAATACAGCTAACCAAGGAGGCAAAAGATCTTTATAAGGAGGACTATAAAACATTGATGAAGAAATCAGAGACAACCCAAATAAATGGAAAAACATTCTATGCTCATGTATTGAAAGGATCTATATTGTTAAAGTGTCCATACTGCCCAAAGCAATTTACAGATTTACACTATTCCTATCAAATTATCAATGACATTCTTAACAGAATTAGAGAAAACTATTCTAAAAATCATATGGAACTAAAAGAGATCCTGGATAGCCAAAGCAATCCTAAGCAAAAAGAACAAAGATAGTCACTGTACTACCCAACCTCAAACTATATTACAAAACTGGAGTAATGAAAACAGCATAGTACTGGTACAAAAACAGACATATAGATCAATGGAACGCCTACAACCATCTGATCTTTGACAAGGCTGATGAAAACAAGCAAGGGGGAAAGGACTCCTTAGTCAATAATTGGTGCTGGAATAACTGGCTAGCCATACACAGAAGAATGAAACTAGTCTCTTACCTTTTACCATATACAAAAATTAACTTAAGATAAAGATTTAAATGTAAGACCTCAAATGATAAGAATCCTAGAAGGAAACCTAGGAAATCCCCTTCTTGACATTGGTTTTGGCAAATAATTTTTAGCTAAGTCACCAAAAGCAACTGCAACAAAAGCAGAAATTGACAACTGGGACCTAACTAAACTAAAGAGCTTTTGCACAGCAAAAGAAAATATCAACAGCATAAACAGACAACCTACAGAATGGGAGAACATATTTGAAAGCTATGCATTTGACAAGGGTCTAATATCCAGAATCTATAAGGAACTTAAATCAACAAGCAGAAAACAAATAACCCTATTAAAAAATGGGCAAAGGACATCAACAGACACTTCTCAAAAGAAAAGATACATGCCATCAACACAGATATAAAAATGATCGTCACTAATTATGAAAGAATGCAAATCAAAATCATGAGATACCATTTCACGCTAGTCAGAATGACTATTATAAATAAGTAAAAAAAAAAAAAAACACATGCTGGCAAAGCTGCAGAGAAAAGGGAACACTTTAACTCTGTTGGTGGGAATATCAATTAGTTCATCCACTGTGGAAAGCAGTTTGGAGATTTCTCACAAACTTAAAACAGAGCAGCCATTCAACCCAGCAATCCAATTAAGTAATTAACTAATATGGGAAATATTTTAGATGTGTGTATATATTATATACATGATAATATATATACATTATCTGGCTCTGCCAGAATGAAAATCTAGAGACATCATTCAGGAGAGACAAGCACCCCAGTAAACAGATCTTCGTTATAAATATAATTTTCCAATTAAATGAACCAGGGGTCCTTGGAGAAATGGCTGGTTCTAGAATTGGGCGAGAAAAATTCAAGATGAGTCTGGAGCATCTTGTAGTACCAAAAAGTAAAAGAAATTTAACGATGGGAGCATGTCAATACAAGGCAGTACTCAAACTGAAGGAATGCCCCATGTCCAAAGCTGGACTAATTTGAGCAACAAAATAGCATAATTTAGAAATGTAATACGACATAGAAATTATATCTATCTATCTATATATTAGAATAGATATATATGATTGAATAATAATAGGGTAAAAGAGACAAATCTTCCTGACAGAAAAATTTCAAATAATTTATATAGATACTTTCCTTCCCCTTTTTGAATGTTGTTAGACTTACAGCTTTGCTCTGAAAGAATAGAATAGGAAATGGAAAAAAAAATGGTGATTTTACAGTGGAGAAACCCAGCAAACTACCTTAACTATATGACCAAGGTTGACATCACCAGTAATGTCATGTGCATATCATGCTCCCCTAATAAGTGTAATGAGGACACTTCACTTCTGTGGGATTCTTTCCTAAAACACATAGTCCCAGTCTAGTGATGAGAAAAGCATCAGACGAAATCAAGGACACTTTAAAAAATACATAATCAAAACTCCTTTAAAAACTCTCAAGGTGGTGAAAAATAAGGACGTTCTGAGAAACTGTCACAGACCAGAGGACATTAAAGTGACAGTGACATGATAACACATGTGGTTCCCTGGACTGTGTACTGGAATAGAAGAAGAATGCTACTGGGGAAATTAATTGAAGTCCAAAAAAAGTCTGGAGTTTATTTTGTAGCAATGCACTAATGTTGACTTCTCCTTTTGACAAATGTACCATGGAAATGTGAGATGGTAACATTAGGAGAAACTAAAACTGGGTAAGGAGTTTATGAGAACTCTCTGTTACTATTTTTGCAACTTTTCTGTAAACCTAAAAATATTTCAGAAGTAAAAAGTTTATTTTAAAAGCAGCCCTGATGTTAGAATCTTAGTTAATTAGTTAACAAATGCATTCAACACATAGCAATGTAAAACTTGCTGTGTCACTGATACAGTAATGATTAGCAAGTCAGATGCCATCCCCATCTTTCCAGAGCTTACAGTTTGGTGGTAGATAAAGACAACAGGGAAGTTTGGAATTATTTAATAAGTGCTTTGCAAAAGTGCCAGACGTTTTAAAAATATTTTTCTCCTATATTTAAATTAATAAATCTGGCATGTTAAATAGATCTTGGAGCATGGTAAACATATTAGTCCTCAGATAATACTTCTGCTGAATATTTTCCATATCAGATAATCCTTATGCTCTGAACAATTTGCCAGGTTTGTTTTAGATTTTTATTAGAGAACTTTGGGAATATTCTTTAGTTTATTATATTTTGCTCAGTGATATGGTTTGGCTCTGTGTCCCCACCCAAATCTCACCTTAAATAAACCCCATGTGTCATGGGAGGGACCTGGTAGGAGGCAGTTGAATCATGGGGGTGGGTTTTTTCCTGTGTTGTTCTCATGATAGTGAATAAGTCTCACAAGACCTGATGATTCTATATCCCCTGCATATGTCCTATTGCCTGCCACCATGTAAGATGTGCCTTTGCTTCTTCTTTACCTTCTGCCACGATTGTGAGGCCTTTCCAGCCATGTGGACCTGTGAGTCCATTAAACCTCTTTCCTTATAAATTACCCAGCATTGGGTATGGCTTTATTAGCACCATGAGAACAGACTAGTATGCTCAACAAAGAATTCTTTTCTTAAAAAGTAGAGAGCTGTTTCCTTTTTCGTGTAAAAAATGAAAAGTCAAACTAGATTTGATTTAAAATATTTTTTGATTTTAAATTTCATTGAGCTTCGTCAATTATATGCTACTTTCTTGGCTATTTATTAGAACAGTAAGGTTTACTTACTGATCACATAAAAACAAACATCATTTTTTTTTCATCATCATTTCCTATTTCTTCAGTTTATTTCAGGTAGAAAAGTATATTCCAAAGAAGAAAGATATTCCCATAGTGAAAAAAAAAACCCACATATATTCACTTAGGCAGGCAATACTTTTCAAAAAAATGAGAAGCCTTGTTACCATTATAAAAAGTCTGGGACCCAAAATGCAGCCCACTAAAATCCTAAACTCTGTACTTGCCAAGCCTCATCAGCTTTCCTTAGCTCAAAAACCTCAGGAATGGGTATCTTAAAAGGAAAAGCTTTTTGTGGATTTGTAAAGTCTCACTACAGAGAAATTCACCTCAGTCAGAAAGATCTTGTGGGTAAAAGTCAAGATTCATTTGCGAAGGCTGGCTGGGAGACATTTCATGTCTCTCTTTTGCTGAGAAGTAATCTCACAAAGAATTTATAGTCTATGGCTGCACATAAAGGTGGCTTCTTTGAGGGGTCCACTTTGGTATGTACTTCGAGAGGAGAGGATGGAGGCTGAATGTAAAACACTGTGGCTGATTTCAACATCTGCTCCTATAGTTACAAAGAACCAGAGGCTGGACTCTAAAGCAAGAATGGAAGGTCACAAGTCAGAAGTTTCTGAGAATGTGTTGGACAAGGAGTGGGTCGGGAAAACAACTGAATTTCCTCTAAAAAAAAAAAAGATATCTCTTTGATGTCTGGGTATTTGGTAAATTAAAAAAAAAAAAGAAAAAAAAAAAGACAACAGAAAAGGTATTACTAATGGGGTAGAAGGAACAAAAGATTGAAATTGAAACCAAAACCAAATCATACCAAACCAAACAGTATTCCTTTCAGCGGAAGCGCATATGTCTAATACCACATTTTAAAAAATGACCCCTTTTCTGGATTGTTTCACTAGCCTCCTATTTTACCTTCCTGCCACCAATTTCTCCCTCTTTCAGTTTATTCTGCAAACTGCTTTCTGAAAGAACTTTCTAAGACATTTTAGTGACCGTATAACTATAGCCTTCATGATAAAAAAACTTTCAATGGCTCATCATTGTCACACAAAGAAAATCCAAATATTTCAGTTTTGGTTTTCAACTTTTTAGATGATTAGCCAAACCATGAAACTTTTCTGGTTATTGTTGTCAGCATCTGTAAAATGAAATCAATGTATAGAAATCTATAGGTTATCTCAACAGCCTAGGTCAGTTACATAACTAATTTTTAAATGGTTAAAATAGTGTTTTACTTTATCTCTCTATCTCTCTCTCTCTCTCTCTCTCTCTCTCTCTCTCTCTCTCTCGTCTATCAATTATCTATTTCATACTAGTACTAGTTAGTACCTAGGGTGGATATAAATATAGGGTATGAATTGTTCCATTTCTAATGTTACCTTTACTTATGCAAGTGGTTTTGATTTTAGTTACCTTGTCTAAAACATGCTAAGTCAATAAATCGAATATCCAGAAATAAACCATGCTTTTACCATTTCTTAGGCCTCAAATTGACCTTGGCCACTTAACAGGAATGTTTTTGGTGCCTGCTCTATATTTTCAGGAACTTTAGTAAATACTTGGTCTCATTTAATCTCATAATCTTCAAAAGCCTCTTGAGCAAACCCCTGATAACATCCACTTCCAGTATGGATAATTAGAAAACAATTAGGTTCTAACGAGGCTTTCGCTTCCTTACTCTGTTTACCAGCACTGTTTCAACATCCTTCTATTGATATGAAATGTGTGGAGACATAATTTTTTCTTTTTCTTTTTCATCTTGATTCTGGAAGCTCTGGTAGAATAGTTAAGGAAATTTCTTAACGGCAAACAGGGGAAGCGTTTTATTCTCTTTGGATTTTGATGGTACACAAATTAACTCATTTCCTCTACTTTTCCCAGAATATGGAAACTATTGGAAATGTGAACATTCCTATTCTTCCTGACTCTTAAATTTCATTAGAAAATTCTTTTGCATAACATAACTTTTACTAAGAGGTAATTGGAGGCCGTGTTTACCAAGAATGTTTGTTAACGTGGAGCTAAAAAAACAACATAGAATCACTAGCCATTTGGATAATGAGCACTGCAAACATCATTGCCCATAGAAATGGTGTAATATTAGGATAGAATTTAAGTTCTTGCTCAGATTGCCATTGAAAGAAGAGTATCAATATTTGCTGTACCTACTATGTGCCAGGTATTAAGTAACGCTCTTTTCATATTTAAAAATTTTTTAAATTTAAAATGTTTATTTTAAAAAATTAGAGTTTTGCATGTTGCCCAGGCTGGTCTCAAATTCTTGGCCTCAAGCAATCCTCCTGCCTTGGCCTCCCAAAATCCTGGTTCACAGGCATGAACCACTGCACCTGGCCTTTTCCACCCCCCATATTTCTTCTCATTTAATTCTCAGTGCAACCCTGGGCTGGGCACTTTTTCAATCTAAATTATTGGAGTTAAGGAAATTGAGAGTTAGGGAGCTTTAGTAACATGTCAAAGGTCACACATCCGTTAATTACAGGGCTTAGTTTTGAAACCACTTAGTTTGATGTGAAACCCGAAATATTTCCATAGCACACTGTCTTCATTCATGTTTTTATACCCTTTGGAATCTGGTTTCCTACTAACCTTAACCTGTTTTGGAAGGATGAATGGGCTAAGGAATTACTAATTGTAAAATATGCTTATAATTTTAAAGAACATGTAATTATTGAAAGAAAAATCATGACATTTTATAGTTAACTTCTTAGTTTATTTTCTTTAAATAGTCCCAGGATAATACGCAAAACTATCTGTGTTCTCTCTTTCATAGCATAAATTAATGGAGAGCAAAGTCTTTTCTTTGCGAGCATTTTCTAACACCGTTAACCCATCCTTCCCTGCTGCTAACTTCTCTCAAACTTTTAGATTCATGGGGACATGAAGGCCAGACTGCTATCTTACTAAATTCTTTTTTTCATAAGAATATGCGAGATGCAAATTAGCAAAATGCAAAAGCTCTAGAAAGAGCATCTCTGGGTTTTATAGCTCTGCTTTGGAAGAGTGTGTCTTTGGGATATCAAGTGAAGAAAAAGGAGCATGCATAATTGCATATGTAATCGGGCTGCAATTTTGCAATGTATAATACAAAATATATATACATTTATAGATGAAAGACCTGAAATAAATATGCCAAAATGTGAGCCATGATCATCTGTAGGTGAAGACCCATAAGGCAATTGCTTTTCATTTTTTAAATATTTTTATCCATTTTAAAAATAAAAATATGTTTCTTCTATTGCCAGAAGAATGCAATGCATTTCATCCATATTTTTAAAGACATATTCTTTTGAAATCAGTTCTGGGTGTGTGTGAGCGTGAAAATATCCTCAAATGGAAACAATTTTGTCTGCAAGGGAATTCAGCTTTAAAACGGGAGCAATGCATTTGTCTCTTTGATGCCATGGCAACCACTGGGAAAACGCAGTCCAACAATGGGATAAAAATGTGCCTCAAGAGTGGGTAAGAAGGAGGCAACCTTGGGCTTCTTTTCCCCTGACTTTCCCTTGAACAGAAGGTTGCATTGTGTTTTTCCAGCTGACTTTGCTTTCCAGCTAGGCTGCTGTGAGAGGAAAGAGCAAACAGTAAGAAGAAGCTTTTTTTCATGGAGTTTTGGGCTCTCTGAAAAATCATGCATTTTCTCAGTGGAGAAAAGCTCAGTTTGTGTTCTCTGTCTTCCCCTCCCCTTGACACCTTCCATTTCAGTCATTTTTATTACAAGTTTCTCAATCCCCTATACATTTTCCCCTCAGGATACCCCACTTGTCTTCTTTGGAGCTGCGTGGCTGGATTTTTTTTCCTCTCTGGTCACTATTTTCTTCATACTGATAGAAAGACTCCTAGACTCTTTCTCAGATTCCAATCCTTAATACATCTCTGTGGGTATCCAATGATTTGGCTGTCTGAGATTCTTTCTCTTTTTTTTTTTTTTTTTTTTTTAAAGATTTTTTAACCTAATTGTGTTCCTTAGGTAAATCGAATTCTCCCCAAGCCACTGAAGATTGCTAAGGGTCTTCATTTTGGCAATATAGATCCAAATATTGTGATGACAGAGGTTGCCAAAGGACTTTGTCCACATGATATAGGTAAATAATGATGATGCCAAGCTTTCTCTCTGGTCCGTGCCATGTTTTTCCTTCTAACATGACAGCAGTGTCAATACAGCAAGGATAGTTGACCTTGATGCTGGGCTTTATACTAAGATCCTGTGTGTTTGTGTTGTAACCGAGCGAGGGCAAAATCACCACTGAGACAAAGACTAGGCCAAATTGCAGGGTCTTTATTGCCAGCAGCCACAGAGGACTTGCGTCTGTCTAACCCGTGGCCCCGAAAGGAGGGTGTCAAGACCTTTTATGCCGAAAACCACTTCCTGGGTGGGGGTGAGGGCAAGGGGCTTCGGACATTCCGAGGGCCAGGGGACTTTGGATGTTCCAATTGTTACAGAACTCAAGATAAGCATTAGTTTATACACTGTCGGTGCAGGGTGGAAATTACAGACCTTAGTTAATTATTACAAGTCGCAGGGGCCAAGATGGTGTGGGTTTGGACTGCTTGCCCATCACATTAGGGTTACAGAGAGCAGTTTCAACGGAAAGCCGAGATATGGTCCAAGTATGCAGTTTATGGGACGACTACCACGTCACATTTGGACTTGAAAACGTTAGTTCACTTAGAAGCCAGCAGCCACCTGAGTTAGGCCCTGCAGTTTTATACCTCAAACCAGTGTAAACACTGCTTTTCACCTAATACAAAGAAAAGGAATTGGGGGAGGGAGGCCTTTAGAGTAACCCCAGAAGTGGTTTGAAAGAATTGTAGGCCGTCAATTTGGTAACCAGAGGTGCAGTCTTCAGAGTGGAGGATTCTGCGTGGCAGAGCCAGGCCTTGATCCAGTGTGAGCCCCTGATACCCTTTGATATTCCCTGCACAAGGAACCATGGGAGACTTGTGCAGCTGCCTCGCCTCCAACTGGCCCAGGAGGCTGGTCATCCCTGGAAACTGGCAGCAATCCTGAGAGGTCAAGGCTGCGGTGAGCTGTGACCACTCTACTACTGCACTCCAACCTGGGCAGCAGAGAAAGCCCCTGTCTCAAAAAAAAAAAAAAAAAAAGTGTGCTAGGTACTGACAGTGTATCAGTGAACAAGACAAATACTTAGACAATAAAATGTGGTTAAAAGCTTGAGCTTTGGAGTCAGATGGCTAGTTTAAAGGGTGTCTTTTGTGATCTTACCTGTCTGAGCCTCAGTTGGCACACAAGTAATGGAATAAGAGTAATAATATCCATTTTATAAATTATAATGAGGATTAAACTGAGATAATATTAATATATATGAAATATTAAGCACAACACATAGCACATAGTATGCATTTAATAAATGTTGGTTATAATAACAGATATCATATGTGGGCTGGCTCAACATCTCTTCCAAACTCTATTGTGCCTCCTTATAAAGCTTGCAGAAACATGTTTTCCAGACTCCCTTGCAGCTAGGATGCCATATATAATTTAGAGCCCTCTACCAGATGCATTTGTTTCCTGAAGGCTCATAATTCTGGGTTTGACTGTATTAACCTGGATGAGATTTGCATAAAATAGTACCCATATTCTTTTACCCTCAGAATACTGGGCACAGTTGCAGCTCATGCATGTGGTCTCTCTCTGCTGGTTCACCTTGTTGGCTTGGGCAGTAAGGTATAGTTTCTATTTTCATGGAGCTATGGCTTAGCAAGAGAGA